GGGGATGAGGGGTTTGGGATGTGGGAGGTGCTCAGCGCTGGGGCACAGGGTTGGGGTGCGGGAGTGAGGGCTGTGGGATGGGGCTGGGAATGAGGGATTCAGGGTGTGTGTGGGGGCTCTGGGCTGGGGTGTGGGAGGGGGTCAGGGCTTTGGGCTGGAGGTGCAGGCTCTGGGGTGGGGCCGGAAATGATAGGTTTGGGGTGCACGAGGGGCCTCCGGATTTGGGGGGGGGAGGCTCATGGCTGGAGCAGGGAATTGGGGAGCAGGGTTGGGGGACAGGCTTACCTTGGGTGGCTCCCTGTCAGCAGCGCAGCGGGGGTGCTAAGGCAGGGTTCCTGCCTGTCCTGGCACCACGGACCGTGCTACACCCCAGAAGCGGCCAGCAGCAAGTTCGGCTCCTAGGTAGAGGTGCGGAAGCAGCTCCACATGGCTCTCGCCCACAGCCACTGCCCCCCTGCCACCAGCTCCCATTGGCCGGGAAATGGCCAATGGTAATGCGGAGATGGTGCTTGGGGTAGGGGCAGTGCGCGGAGCCCCGTGGACGCCCCCCACCTAGGAGCCAGACCTGCTGCTGGCCGCTTCTGGGGCACAGCACAGTCCATGGTGCCAGGACATGCAGGAGGACTGCCTTAGCACACACACCCTGCACCGCTGACAGGGAACCGCCCAAGGTAAGCCCGCACCCCAATCACCTGCCCCAGGCAGTGTCAGGACAGGTAGGGACTAGCCTGCCTTAGCCAGGCAGCACCACCGATGGGACTTTTAATGGCCCAGTTGGTGGTGCTGAGCAGAGCTACCGCAACCTAGTGCCTTACATTCCCTGACCCAGTACTGGGTCGCAACCTGCAGTTTGAAAACTACTGCTTTAGGGGACAAACTCTCTCTTTAGTACAGAGCATAGCAGAAGGGGCCCATGATACCCAATTGGGACCTTTATGCAATATTGAAGTATAAGTAGTACTATGCAGGTAAATAATTTCTGAAACAGCTTTATTTCATATGCCAGGTGATGCAGGAAAACTGTCTGAGCATCCCAAGGATGGAGGCATCCCCCCTATTTCTGTGCAGTCAAAACCCAAATATAAAATTACTTCCCATTCCTGTCGATCTAAACCGCAGATTCCTGAATCAAAAGCACAAGTCGTCTCACTGATGGATGTTCCCAGATTGCTTTGCAACAAGATTCTTGAATAAGCAGGTTTATTGTATATTGTCACTGATCCAGCAAGGAACTTGAACTAGTTATTAAAGCTACTTTTGAGAAGATCTATTCAGTGGGGGAAAGTCTGACATTTGCATCAGCAAAGGGTGCTCTGAGCAAATTTGTTCCAGAGAAAATAATACTTATGACCACAAAACTCTCCAATGGTTGACCACTCTGAGTTTGAAAGGCAAACAACAGTGTCTGACTTTCCAGGGATTTTAACAAAGCCATCAAGGCACCTGTATGTCACTTCTGTGTTGATGGGGAAGCCCTCCGTGCAATTAGTATCACTGGGGACGGCACGACTGAGCCTTGGCAGGGCCCCACACAGACCTATCAGAAAAACATAAGAACAGACTCTTATTTTCATAAGAGTGTGATACAGCATGGCCAGAGGGCAGTAGGAGAGTGATAGAGGGGAGATATGTAAGCCCCAGGATGATGAGAGCCTTATTTCCTTTAGAGGGAATGGAGGTTGCTATAGATTAATTAGAGCACCTGAGGCCCGTCACCTGATTAAAAAAACCCTGCTTCAATCACACAGGGGAATGAGTTGAAGCAGAGTGGTTTGGTGTTGGAGCAGAGAGCAGTTTGGAGAAGTGCTGTGGCGGGCTAGAAGACCAAGACCCTAGGTAAAGGGAAACCCGGCTTGTGCAGAGCAGAGAGACTCGACAGACACAAGGGGTTGGGAGAAACTTGGCCCAAGTGGAGAGAGGGCAGGAAGCCCGGCCGGAGAGGGAAGTAGCCCAGAGGAAGGAATCGCTAGTTCAAGTGGTTCGCCGCTATCCCTAGGGGCCTTGGGCTGGGACCCAGAGTAGAGAGTGGGCCCGGGTCCCTCCCTCGCCACTCCCCTTTTCTGGGACACTAGTGGGACAGTTGATACCCCAGTTCAGGGGTGAGAAACTGCACCCTGAACACCCCCGCCCCCAAAAGGAGAAAGCGCGGGACCCATCATAATAGTGTCGGCAATTTGCCACAAGGAGAGATATTTATTTTAAATAATTTCACACAGCCGCCTTCCTTGAAAAGGATCCTGACATGCTTTAGATGCTACAGGGACCTGCCACAGGCCAGGTGAGCCCCGTTGTGGGGGGTTCCTCAGGTTTTCCAGTAGCCTATGAGAACAGACAAGCTTCCCACAGCCAGGACTTTAAACTAAAGGCGTCTTCACTGCTGTGCTAGGTCAAGTTCTCTAAACAGGAATTAGCCGAGAGAGAGCAACTGCGCTGCACAATAACGGTGGAGGTGCAGAGAGTGGTTGGATTAGCAGCACAGAGTAGCTGAGTCCCCACTGCATGACTAGGTCCAGCCTCAGCAACTCTCCAGCTCCCACCCACACTCCAAGTGCACCAGCTAGTGGCCAACTCGAGCTGAAGAGATTCATCCCTTAAACAAAAGCTTCTTTTGACCACCATGAATCTGTGCTCAGAGCTAGAATGGATATTTCTCCACCTTACAATCACCAGTTTTATTTGCGTTTTTTTTCGGGTGTGCCTGAGATTGTTTTTAGCAGACACTGTATAAAAAGGAATTTTGCAAAAGGAAAGATAATCAGTTCACTCATCTGACTGTTCTGAACTTCATGTTAACAGCCAGGCCACTCCCGGAAAGACATCAGATGCCACAAGATGACTAGAGTGACTTTTACAGGGTTAGTATCGGACAAAACAGGCTAAAAGAAGAGAGGCCCAATTCCAGTATGGCTCCTTCTCTCTCCTACAAATATGTCAAAGCTCTGCCTCCTAACACACATGTGAAAGTACCACTGAACAACATCGCTAAGACAAACAAGAAAATTGCAACAATTTTTACTCATTTAATTTTCCTTAATATTTCTGAGACTGCACAGTGCAAGATGTCCACGTGCATGAGGTGTACTGCCCTTGTAGCCACACCACCAATTAACTCTTTGAACCATAAACAATCGATTCCTGTGCTCCCCAGATAATTGTGCGTGGAGCCCTTTGTTCACCCGGCCCCTGGCTTTACTCTGGCTGTGCTGGTTCCTCTATTGGTGATGTGGCCTCACAGCCTGGTTTTAGAGTAATCGATCCTTTCACCGTCTCACTGTGAAGTGGAGAGAATAAGTTGTTGACTCCAGGGATGATGCCCCCATCACCTGGATGTGTTGTAAGGAATCAGCACAGAGCTGGTAGCTGAAGTCTTGTGAGCTGATGAGATGGTCCCAAGAGAGGACAGGACCAGCAACACAATGGATCCTCCTACACTTTCATCATGTCTCCCCCTTCCCAAAAATATCAATATGATCGACATATGAAAAATATGATTTCCAAACAATCCTGCTTCTAAGGCTCGCTTATTTATGAAGTGTTAGTCATTCTTTACTTTCCCAACAGTAACTAGTTTTCATGATACGTATTTAGAGGGACTAAGCACTAACTGAATTTCCTCAGGTTTATGGGTTTACTTAGTAGTCAAAACACAGTTTTTCCTGGGAGGAGATAGTAGAACAAGAAGGGGATAAAAACAGACGCTACTAACCTTTGCATTCAGGGGCAGGCCTACTCCACTCTCCATTGACATGATCTTTCGTTGTACAATGAATGGAGGCCTCTCCAATAAGAGAGAAGCCCTTGTCACATTTGTAAGTTACCGCTGAGCCAAAGGAAAACTCTTGTTCACTCTGACCAGTATGGGATCCATGGGTGATATCAGGAGGTGGAAGACAAAGTATTGCTGAAGCAAAGAATGTCAACATGAAAATTAAAGTTTACATTAAAGGTGAACTGAAGAGAGAGTTTCACTAAGAAAGTTGTCTCAGATCCCCCCAGAAAGCTATGTAGCCATTTGGAAAGGGACTTAACATTGCATTTTAACATTTGAAGCAAGACCCCTTTCAGATTCTGAAGGTTTTTCTGCTTTTAGGCTTGACCCAGCCCAGTACGTCCATTGCTCAAGGAGGATGCTCCATAAAACACTAGCTCAGGATGACGACCTTAACAGAGCATGCCCCTCCCCAACATTAGCCTCAGGGAGCCAGAACCTCTTCCCCGCCATCTCTAGAGGTAGTATTGTTCCACCAGCAGAAAACTAAGCTAGGACATTGCTTGTAGCAGCAGCTGATTCTAGACTGGACATCAGCAGCATGATTGACAGACCAAGCCCAGAAAGCATCCAAGAGATCAAATTAAGGTAGAGGCAATTTAATTGTGATTCACTCCCAAAGAGCCTCAGATTTTAAGTGGATAGTCAGGTTTGGGAAGGGTCAAAACTTCTTGAAGTCATTATCATGCCTTTTACTTAGTGAACTGCAGGATTACACCAGATACAACAGTGAAGAGGAGCCATGAGGCCTGTTGGATTGTGCATATTAAACAGTGCCAGGTGAACAATCTAAAAATTGATTCTGTCGGAGTCATCCAAACACCATGGTGAACCACAGTATGATTTCATTCCTCCCCCCAACTCAACTGTCATTTGGATTAAACGCCAAAGTAAGAACAGAGACTCCTCTGAAGCCCCAGCTATGCTGCATCATCTCCAGACGTGAACCGTTCTTAAAACCATTAGATTAGTTTACCTTCGCAAAGTGGAAGCTCCTTATCCCAATCAACTCCATTTCCCGCAACCACACATTGGGCAGAAGTCGGTCCATTTAATCTGTACCTAAAGAACGAAAAATGGTTCAAGTTTGTTACTCACGTAAGCAAAGAGCTAGTTAACCGTCCAAAAAGATGGAACGTGGTTTCTTTCTGCCAGTAGGTGGCGACAAACCATTGAAAAAGGGACACATCTAACACCATAGGACCAAGGAACACTGAGGCCAGGTCTACACTACTCAGCTATATGGGTACAACTATGTTGCTTGGGGTGTGAAAAATCCATACCCCTGAGTGACAGTTACACTGGCCTAACCCCGCCAAGTAGACACCGCTTTGTCGAGAGGAGAACTCCTGCCAACATAGCTACTGAGTCTTGGAGAGATGGATTAACTATGCTGACAGGAGAGGCTCTCCCATCAGTATAGGAGCATCTTTATATACAACAGTACAGCTGTGCTGCTGTACGTGAAGACCAGGCCCTGTGTAGTTAAAGGCAATTAAGAGCTACAAACCAGAAGGTAGAGCTCCCAAAAGCATTAGCAGGAGAGAGTCCTTGCTTCTGAGCTATGCTTATCAGATGTTTGGGAATACTTGTTAATCCTCGGCAAAGGGGAACAAATTACCCCTCTTCTAAATTAGAGATTTTTGCACTCCTATCTCCAGTAGGTGACAGGAGGCCCTACCCACCTCTGCTACAGAACTCTTCAAACACCCAGAAAACTAGTTAATTTACAGATCACATGACCCAACCCCTAATGGATGATCTCCTGAGGCCTCTAGGCTGGGATCTTCAAAAGCACCTGAGCGAGTTAGGTGCTCATCTCCCACTGAAAGCCACCCAGCTACGGTTGTCAATCTTCCTTCAACTCCTTTGAAAAAATTGCAGGTGTAATTCTTAACAAGGGCCCAGACCATGGCTACAGATTTATAGCACACCACTCACTTATGTTCTTGAAGTTAAGCAGGCTTTCTACTCTCATTTTGCCAGACTTCACCAGCACTTTTACACCAGTCTAGGTTCTATTAATTAGTCAAAAGAAGCAACTTGCCACTCACCCTTCATTACAGGAGAAGTTTGCTGTTGCACCAAACCGGAGATCCGTGAAATGAACCCTGCCATTTTCTAGTTCCAGTTGTTTACATGGTCTTTCTAGAAGAGAAGAAGACTAATATTAGCGTTACCTCATATTACCTTAACGGGAGAAAGGGGATATGTTAACTTGCACCCCCTAACATAGCAAATACCATGGCAGATAAAAGTCAATGACCTTGGAGTCCAGTATCTGTCCTGTACCACAGCGGTCAGCAGCAAAGGCTGCAGAGGAAATCTTACAACCCACATTATGGATAATTTTGTAACATGCCCAGGGGAAGTGGGGAGATGTGGAA